AAGCGACAGTGGAGAGGAAAAACTCCCCATTGGGAAGAAACTTCTGGCAGAACCAGACTCAACATGGCAGTCTGCTGCTGGACCAGTTAAGATGAGACAGGGAACGAAGTAAGAGACCAGGAGGAATGACGGTCTGATGAAGCTTTAGCTACGATGGTGGAGGAGGGTTGAAACGGGTTCATGTGAATGAAGTCACACAGTGCATCCACTGCACTTGCACAGGTAGCCAAAGGCGTAGCCAGAAAATTTTAATAAGAGTGGCCAGGTAATAACCATCGTATACTGAGGGGTGGCCAAAAGCAGATAGGTGCCAGAACCTCACAGTCAATCCAACAGGAAAAGGAAAAACCACAACATCCATTTTCTGACTTTACTTTTCTACAGCCTTTGCTAACAAATAGATGCATATATGTTAGCATCCATCCTGTCTATATTAAAAGTATAGGCATCAATCATCATTCTGCATAAAATGTATATTTACATGTAATAATATCTACATTAAATGGATTATATATTATTAAAGTAGATATTTATCTCTGAAAGTCATCTATGAATCTTCAATGAAATCAGAGACAGAATTTTCTCTTTACCCCATAAGACAAAATCTAGTTCTGAAAATAGCATGAATTCTAACCTCTTTAATGTTAATAAATTGATGTGCATAATTAACTAGTGTTTTTTGTTGTCAAGTAACTGTTAACATATGAAAAATAAGATATTAAATAAGTTAGAACTTTCCACCAGAGAGCATTACTGCTGCCACCGTCTGTATTAGAGGGAAAAAATGGTAGGGGGGGCCACAGGGGTGGCCAATGATTGGCTAAGGGCCACCCCCGGCCCCCATCTAGCTCCGCCACTGTAGGGAGCAGGTGAATTGCGTATCAGAGGCATTTTAAGATGAACTTGGGATGCTGACTGGCTTTTGTGGGGGCGTGGTTCAAAGCTGATTGGCTGTGTCTTAGGTGGATGTAGGAGAGCAATCAGTTTATTCAGTTGAACTTCCACCTAGGCTCCATTTACTTACTCACATCAAGGCTAAATACACTTAATTTAGGACACGTTCACTTATTTCTGGATGGTTTTTGTCGTGTTTTGTGATGATCAGATTTTGTCTTACAGAAACCTGCCTGCAGCAAGAGGACCGTGTGAATTAGTATTATCATTATATAAGTATTATCAAAATGTTTACATTCTCTGAAATATTTGGGAAGAAGGAGAAGTAGCAACCATCTTTCAGTCTGATCTATTGATTAGTCCCAGGCCAATCACTTATTTTTATCTTCATTTTACACATCCAGATAGCAAAGTACTAAAACTATTTGAGTTTGTTATTTTGTATCATCCACCAGGTCCTTAGTATCAATTTTAGATCTGCTTTTAATCCTAGCTGATTTAGTGTTAAAGACTGACGAGATTGATAAAGTAGGAGATTTAAACATTTGTTATTACTCTGAAAGTAACAGGTTCAAATGTGGCCTTTAATGATACTCAACTGGCTTTGCTCAAACACTAATACAGCTACCATGTATGCCACCATAACCCTGTCCTTTCTGAGCATTTTCGATCAATAAGCTGTTCACCCAAGATAGAAAACATTATTATAATAGATCATTATCCAACGATGTTGTAAAAACTGTTATTATAGAATCAGTCCTATTTCTGGTTTTCTCATTATCATTAAAATAACAGCCGAAGGCAGCAATCTAATTTCTTCCCTATCAAAATCTGATGATGCTGTCTAAATTGTTATTTCTGATTGTGTGTGGCATTAGACAACATACCTCCTCTCACTAAAAAGAGGTGGGGGGTCTTAGTGCATGGTTTATTTCAGAACTGCATACCTTAAAACACATCGCTAGAAAATGTAATAGAATAACACAGAGCAGACCTAAAAGACCTGGGAAAATAATCTATTGTTTATATTAAGTGGCATGAAAGGAGGTCCTTTCTCCCAGCTGTCAGTAATAGTAATTACCAGGAGTAATTATTTTAGAGATAAATTAAATTAAAAGTAAAATCATAGCCATCCTTCAGAATATGACAAATTACTAATCAGTCTGTGATGCAGCATTTAAGGTACCAATAGAACCTGAACTGTGTTCTTTGTGAGTTAAAGTATTACCTCTGCTAGAGGTTTTCCTCTCCACTGTCGCTAC